GGGGGAGTGCCACTCAGCCAGAAGCCCAGCTCAGAGCCAGCAAGCGCAGCGGTGGTGGTGGGGGACTCTCCCACCTCCGTTGCCACGCTAAGGATATCCGACTGATGGCTTGAGCGGGCCTAAGCTGGCAGTTGGACATCCCCCGAGGGCTCCCGGACTGCCAACTGCCCAAATCTCTTGCACCGGGCCTCTAGTATATATAGATAGATGGTGAGAACTCTCCTGAAATCCAAGGTCCCAGATGCCAGCCAAAGGACACCTTGTGGAGGACTTATCAAGGGCTAGTGGTCTTAGCCCTGCTCTGTTCTTTTCTGCACACCACATATCCCATTTTTCATTTATTTTGTTCATATATTCATCTGTTTTATTGAATATATTATTCATCATTTATTTTGAAGTTCTTGCTTATCATTTCCAATATCTGAGTCCCCTGTTTTTATTGTCTATTTTTTTCTTGGTCATTGTCTTTTCACAGAACATGAAATTTTTTATTGGATGCCAGACATTATATTTTTTTAAAAAATGGTAGAGGCTCAGAAAATGATCTCTTTCAGCAGAGAGGATTCATCCTTTCTCTGGTGGGCAGGTAGAATGCAGGGCTGGTCACTTTAATCAATCATAGGTTGAAGTTGGTCAGGGCCTGCACCATATTCATTTCAATCCACTATTCATTTTAACAAAGTTTTACTTCCTCAGTGAAAGTTAACTTAATAATATAAAAGGTGCCCAGCCGTTGTGGCTAAGTGGTTGAGTGTCAACCTATGAAGAGCATTTAAAATATAATAATAATATAGAAGATAATATAAAAGAACTAACTTTAAAAAAAGAACTAACTTTTCCTTGGTAACCCCAGCCTATTTTGTGAATACTGCTAGCTCCTGCAATGTCTAATTTAATAAATGATAATGTATATGTCTCCTTATCATGTCATAAGCATTGAGAACAGAAACTGTGTTTGTTTTCATCAGTAGTATTTTTGTAGCAGTTAGGACAGTTCCAAGCCCTTAGTGGAAAGTCAGTTTGTACCTATTTTATCCTACATAATATAGCACAAAAGAAGGCATCCGATATGACAATTTTTAGTAAGCTCTAAAGAGATTAGTTCTTTCAAATGTTTTCCTAATTATATAGTTCTGACAGCTTCATATAGAAAAAGAATATACCGTTACAGGAACAAGTGTCATTCAAAGATGTGTGCGTGGACTTCACCCGGGAAGAGTGGCATCTGCTGAGTCCTGCTCAGAAGATACTATACAGAGACATGATGCTGGAAAATTACAGCCACCTTGTCTCAATAGGTAAGAATATTTCTATGTGACTACCAGTACCATGCATTTCTTAGTTGATGAAACATATAAACTTCCTGTAAGAATTTTCTGATTTGAAGCTAGAGATTTGGGCTAGCATAAAGAATGCTGTGTTTTTCCCTCCTCAGGGATTGGTTGATTAGGGCACCTCCTTTGAACAGCTCTTTAAACTGTACCTTTCTTCCCCACCATTTTCTCAGAGTCCCTAAAAGCAGGCTGTTTAGCCATAATGCTGTAGTATTTTCTCTTAACAGGGTATTGCATTACTAAGCCAGAAGTGATCGTCAAGATAGAGCAAGGAGAAGAGCCCTGGATATTAAAGCAAGGATTCTCAAGCCAGTGCCACCCAGGTGAGTTCATGAGTTCACACCCAGATGGAAGCCACAGGAAGTGAGATTTAAGCCATTGTTTAGGGCTTATCACCTTTCAGATATTTTTTTTTGTAGCCCAGACCTTTGGAAGTTATAAGGACAATTGGCCCACATCCCTTTATTACCTTAATCACATTCCTCCACATGTCACTTTCACTCATAAGTGCTTTCCTTTTTCCTTCTACATTTTAAGGGTGACTTACCTATACCCATAAGCTAAACACTGTCAGGTTCATCTTAGATAATTTTTCTTGGTTAATGTATCTTTTTTTTTTTTTGGTTAGTGTATCTTAGAATTGTTCACCTCTATTGTCTTTGTGTTAGCTGGTATTTTTTCATGCAGTACTTCTATATATTCATTTAACAAATATATGTGAGCACTCACTATGATCCAGTTATGTTTTTAGGTAATTAAAAGAATAATGTCCCTGCTGTCATGTAGTGTATATTACAATGAGGGGCACAAAGCATACCTGTGTGTGTGTGTGTGTGTGTGTAGATATATGTGCATGTATATACACACACAGTGTTGGGTGATGGTAAGTACTGTTAAAGTAGTGGAAAGGGGGATGGAGAATGATGTACTATTTGGTAAGAAAGTCAGGGAAAACCTTTAAATGAGATTACTAGAGACAAGACTAATAAAGTGGAAGCGTGAATATTTTAGGCAGGGGAAACATCAGGTGCTGAACTTCTCAGGCAGATATATTCTTAGAGTGAAGAATGGCAAGAAGGCCACTGTGGCTGGAGACCAATGGGCGTGGGGGAGATAGATAGGAGATGATATTATAATTAGTAACATGGACCATGGTAGATACCATGGTTAATTTTGTTTTGAGTGATGTGAGAAATCCTTTGTTTTTTTAGTACATGTAAATCAAATTATGTCATCAAATCTGATTTACAGTTTAAAAGAGTCTTTCTGACTTCTAGTCAGTAAATAAACTATGATGGGTGAGTGGTACTTACGAATTAGCAAGGAAGAAACACCAGTTAGGAGGCCATTATGTACTCCAGAGGAGAGAAGATAGTAGCTAAGGCTATGTTGGAAGTGCTCAGAAGTGGTAGATTTGTACAGATGTATTGAAATGCGACTAAGAGGATTTGCTGTTGGATTAGATAATAGTGTGTTGAGAGAAAGAGAGGAGTCATGAATGACAAGCAACTGGATAAATTAGGGTGTTATTTACTGAAATAGAGAAAATTAGGGAGGAGAGATTATAAGGGGGTTATTATAAATTTAAATTTGGACTCAATAAGCTTGAGGTAACTGTTAAAATCTAGTCTGTGTATTGGAGGTTGGATGTGTACAAGTATGGAATATAGAACTAGAAGTATCCATTTGAAAGGCATTAATTTCAAGTGGTGTCAAAAGGCATGGGTTAGAGGAGATCTTCTAGAACAGATGTTGGGAAACTTTTTTTTTTTTTAACTGTGATAAAAGACTTCTTTATTCATCTGCCATGTGTCAGCAAACATTTGTGGCAAGTTAAAACAACACCCAAAACACCTGTGTTCCACATTGATTGGGAAGAAGAAGGATGGTGTTAGATGGAGAATTCAGCAGAAGCAGGATAATTTACAGAAGTATAGAGATGAAACTCCATCTAATCGATCTTCTTTCCACATTACAGTGTGACCACATAAGGGTGGGTGCAGCAAAGGGATTTGAGTCTGAAGCTTGATTACATTAAATGAGGTGATTTTCAAGCCAACTTGAATCCTTGAACTGAATTCCCTTCCATAAGAGGCTCCTTTTCCTCACCCTGTCACCCCTTTCTATGTCCCTGATTCTATTATAATCAAGATGTTGGGAAACTTTAATAAAAGACCAGAAGGTAAATATTTCAGGGTTAGTGGCCACATGTGGTCGTGGTTGTTGCTGCTGCTGCTCCTCCCCCTCCCCTTTCCACTCCTTTCTCTTCCTATTTATTCTCCCCCTTTCTTCTTATCCTTGCTCCTCCCTAGTGCTCTTCTACTTTGTCCCTCTAAAAATGTAAAGAACATTCTTAGTTCAAGGACCATTCATTGCTTGTAGTCATAGCTGGCGGACTCCTTTTCTAAAGAGTGGTTCTTTGTGAGAGAAGTAGTCTTGGGACAATACACTTTTATGAGACATGTAAATCCATTAAGTCTCATCATTAGAGGAGATTGAGAAGGAACAGTCTGAGTGGCATGAAAAGCAGAGAAGCTGGTTTCCTACGAGTCAAATAAGGGACATTCTACAATCCTTTACTACCTTAAGTGGCAACCATGGGTCATTGTACTAAACCTGTTATTTCCTATTACTGGTCTATTCATACTGCTGTTGTTTTCCTTTCAAAACCATCTACTACAGCGGTACTCAACCTGTGGGTCGGAACCCCTTTGGCGGTCTAACGACCCTTTCACAGGGGTCGCCTAAGACCATCCTGCATATCAGATATTTACATTACAATTCATAACAGTAGCAACATTACTGTTGCTACAGTTATGAAGTAGCAACGAAAATAATTTTATGGTTGGGTCACAACATGAGGAACTGTATTTAAAGGGCCAGAAATTTGAGAACCACTGCTCTACATCTCTTCATTTTCTCACTTTTCACTGATAACACGTAAAACCAGAACTGTGCCTGTGATGTTTCATTTCTGGCTTGAGCTACCTCCTAAAAATGGCTTTTATTTAACCTAAAGCATCCAGTGTATCTTTTACTAGCCTGATAAAGTAGCTTTTTATTAATAAATAAAATGAAAGCCTTTCATTGACTATTACAGTGTGGTCCTATTCTTTTTATTTTTACTTTTTTATTTTTATAAGAATTTATTTGAGCCAAAATGATGACATGCTGGGAACCAAGATCACAAGTGCTCTACTGTCCTACCTATCTTAATTTCTTTCTTTCTGCTCTCCAAAATTTACACTAAAACCCATACTATATTATATCCTAAATTCACTTATAAATGCTCTTTTTTAAACTTTAAGTAATTTTTTATTTTTCAGTTACAGTTGGCACACAATATTATATTAGTTTTTGGTGCGCAACTCAGTGATTAGATGTTATATGACTTACTAAGTGATCACCCCGATAAATCTAGTAACCATCTGACACCATAGTTATTACAATATTATTGACTATATTCCTTATGCTATACTTTACATTTCTGTGACTATTCTGTAACTTCCAATTTGTACGTTTTAATCCTTCACTTTTCCACCCATCCCCCCAACAGCCTTCCCATCAGGCAACTGTCAAAATGTTCTTTGTATCTGTGAGTCTCTTCCTGTTCTACTTGTTTATTTTCTTTTTTAGATCTCTTTTGTCTGGTGTAAGTATTGCTACCCCAGCTTTTTGTTTGTTTGTTTCCATTTCCATGAAATATCTTTTTTCATCCCTTTAAATCTGTGTGTGTCTTTTGATCTGAAGTGAGTCTCTTGTAAGCTGCAAGGGTCTATGAGTCTCTTGTAGATAGCAAGGGTCTGTTTTCATTATCCATTAAGTCTCCATATGTCTTTTGATTGGAGCATTTAATTTATTTGCATTTAAAGTAACTATTGATAGATATGTATTTATTACCATTTTATTCATACTTCTTATCCTTCTTATTTTTTTTTCTTCTTCAACAGTAATTTGGTGGTGATGAACTGCTTTAGCTTTTCCTTGTCTAGGAAACTCTTTTTATTTGTCCTTCTATTCTAAATGATAGCGTTGCTGGGTAGAGTAATCTTGGTTATAGGTCCTTGCTTTTCTAAAGAATTTTTATTGATTTCAGAGAGGAAAGGAGAGGGAGAAAGAGATAGAAACATCAGTGATGACAGGAAATCATTGATCGGCTGCCTCCTGCACACCCCCTACTGGGGATTGAGCCCGCAACCCTGGAATGTG